ATTTTTCTCTGTTGTTTTCGCAGCTCTCAGCAATGCTTCTTTGCAAAATGAAGAGCTTAGCTCAGGCAAGAATTCTGTGTAATCGAACTTTTCGTTTGTCTTTTTTTTAGAAGCACTCTTCTTACTTAAATTTTCCAAAACTTTTGAGTACTTGTCCCAGCTTTGATCAATTATATCTGGAATTGAATTCTTGTTTTCTTTGTCGTTCATCACAATTACTATTGCAAAGTAAAGAATAGATTCAATACAACCAAGATAAAGACCAGCTATTAGTCTGTTCTTTCTACCTTCGTTTGTATCATCGAAAGGTGCGTCTATTCCAAAGTCAGCAATTTCTTTGTGAAGGAAAAACTGAACGAATCCAAGAAGAATATCATAAGGGTTTCCTCCACCGTCTGGTGAAGAACATTCAGCAAGTAGAGTCAATAAATCAGGAAGAGGTTCAATAATGATCATGGTCTTTGAGTCAATGCAGCTATCTAAAAAGAATCCGTCAATTTCACCGTCGTCATTAACAGAGATGTACTTTTTCAATTGATCCATGAGGATGGGACATATCTCGTTCAAAAGGTAAGGCTTTTTCTGCACAACATGAGAAAGTCCACGATAGAGAGCTTTTCTTATCGGTGTTTGCATGCTGAGACATCTTCTTAAAAATCCAATTATTTCCAAATCAACAGAGCTTGGTTTTGAATGATTGGCACTGTTAGTACTACTACTTCCGATATTTCTATGAGAGATCTCGTCCAACTCGCCAGAGGAAAGTAAAATTTGTAAAAAACCACTGAGAGCCACTTGTCGAGAATCCAACTCTCGGTTGTACATGGATTTTCGAAGAACGAGCACAACTTGATCTTGAAATTCTTGACTAGTCTTATAGAGCGGCTGTACAGCAGCTAGAAGGGCTTTAGCAACATCCGTTGGCATCGTAGAGAGATATTCAATGGTTTCCTTCAACTTGGAAATGTGATCCAAGACATAGGATGTTTGGTTCAACGAAAGGTTTGCCAGCAATTCAATATACTTTTCAATATTGCCATAATTTGTCACCACACGATTGAATATCCTAGAAAGAATGTCCGATCGAACTACATTATTAATCTCAAATATTTTGCTCAATATTTCTAAACCTAGTTTGTGAGGATGAAAAGCTTGGGCGGTCAATGATAAGGATGGAGCATCTTCTGTTTTTGGCTTCTTTGAGTCAAGCAAATAGCATGCGAAATCAACAACTGATTTCACCATAAAATCTCGTCCTCTGCCACACTTTTTGATGGTATCCATAATGACCTTGTAAGAGTTGGTACTGAAAGATAAGACTTTTTGTTCGTCTTCGGTAATGAAAATACGAGATTTGATAGATTGTTTGTAGTCTTCTTCTACCAATGATTTTAAAAGCTTGAACGCCTTTTCTTCGAAATTTGTTAAGCTTGAAATAATTAGCAGAAATGATACTTTGAACGTATTGAGTGCTGAGGTTGGTTCATTCTTGATGAGTTTAAGCATTTCAGAGGCTAAATCTTGATTTTGTTTGATAGCATAATCAATGAAATGCAAAACAGTTCCTTCTAGATTGAGTACAGAATCTTCGTTATACCCGAGTGAGTTTCGTCTCTTTTCTTTTTCGACATTGTCAAAATATGAAATAATACCCTGTAAGATTTTTTGCTTCTTTCCTCTTGATGAAAGTAGTAATAATTGATATATAAGAGGAGCTGAATCGTTCAGATTCATTTTGTGAAGATAGCTAAGCAATTTGTCCAATACAATATCCAATTCAATTTCTGTCAATGGCATGTCTTTAAAAGCATTTGCAAAAGCTAAAACCTTTTGAGACCAATCACAAGAACAAATATCTTTGATAATGGTCGTCTTGTACTCGTCTGTTTTTTTTCTTTTTCTTTGATTTTGAATTGATTTCAATTTCATCTTTCGACATGACAGTAGAAATGCATTGCGACCAAACGTCAAGAACAAGGCCTGCACTATTCTCAAGAACATTTTCAAAATTGTTGGAAACACCGATAGGAGAAAACTCATCAAATGCACATGATCCATCTTTGAATAATTTGTAAATGACTTGAATGAGTGAAACCAACATGCTATCAGGTATGTAGTCTAGTTCTTCATAAATGATGAAAAGACCATTCTTTGCTACCTTTCCTTCAATTCTTCCTTCAAACATCCAACTCACTAAACATTTTAAGATGAATGTTCGTTCACGGGCTAATTTTTCAATATCTGAAGAGAATGATCCAGAACTAGAGGAGGAACCTCCAGAAGCATTACCATTCAAATTATAGGCTACTTCGGAATCACTCAAATTTCTACAAGCCAAGAAATATGTCTGTACAAAATTGAACAAGGAATCAAAATCAGATTTTGACATGTACGACGAGAAAATGTGTTTGAGTTCTTTCAAAGACTTGTTCAGTTTGTTATCATCCAAATATTTGTACAATTTTGCCACATGCTGATTGGTTAGATTGGATCCCGAAGGAATCTTTTGTTTCAATTCCAACAAGCCTTTCGCAATCTTCATCAATTCCTTTACATCCCGAGTGGGGGTCTCCGTTGATGATGCTGCGGAAGATTTTGAGTTTCCAGATTGTTGTTGCGCTTTTGATTGCGGTATGGATGAGCCATGAGTCGCTTGCTCTTCTTCCTCATCGATCATATCGACCGTTGATTCGTCATCTCCATCCATCACGGGCGAACTTGAAGGCATTTTTTTGATTTTTCACTTCCAACTTTTGCAGGAACTGAAGTTGTCAGCCGTTCAATTTGAGTTTTTGTGCAAACATTTATTACCAACAACAAGCAAACTATTTGTGATCAATTAAGAGTAGCAAATAGCAGTGAAAACAAAATTTTGGAAGAATTAAATAGAAGAATACAGATGTAAAATAAAACTCTTTGATTACATGATGATTAATTATGTGTAGTCAGCTGATCTTTTCAAGTGTTATTTCGATCAAAAACAACAAAAAATTGAACCCAAAAATTTAATATTCACCTTCGGAAACCGGATCATGGTTGCAATCCTCTCTTGTCACAGCATTACATTGGTAGTGGTTTCACATTAGCGTCGTAAGACTCCCACCTGCCCTTTGTAGGCTTATGATAGATACCCTCCAACCGGTGTCGTAGGTTCGTTAATGTGCAACTTGGCTTTGTCAAAAATTGTAACAACACATTGTATTCTTGGAATACAACACGTTCAAGTGTTCCCGTAGGAGACTTGGGTATCTCTCGCAGGCACCTCGAGATAAAGGCGTAGAAACTAACTTTCGTCAGCCACCACAGGACCAGTTACGGCATTTTTTTGAAAGCGAAAGGGTCTTCGAAAAAATGTCTGAAAACCAAACCGCCCTCGGCGATGAAGACACTAATCACCTTCGCCATCACGCCTCTATCAAAGAGGTCGCTATTCGCCCGCATACTGCAAACAAATCTCTTTCTGCTCAAAAATCGGCACATGATAAATGGAGAGAAGAAATGGAAAATGAAATTCTAGAGGCTCCGTCTTCCGTCAATATAGCCAATTTGTCGGAAATACAACCTAGCCCACCCAGCATATACAACTCCCCAATGTTGTCGCAGCCAGAGGTCTCTAATATTACTACAACCTCTGGAGTCTCAGTTTTTAATACCTCAGCCATGACCGATGACCATTCTACTAAATTGAAGCGACATCATAAGCTCTTCAGAGTGGTAGCCTTTACTACCAACTCTGTCGAAGAAGTCCTTGCAACCGTCGCAATGAATGCCGATACGTTGTACGGTAGTAGAGTTGTCAGTGAATTAGATTGTATTATCTTCTTCTTCAAGTCGCGCAAATTGGCAAACCAAGCAATATCTGCTGGTGCTAAGTCCAAGCTCACTATGATACCTCAAACCGTCAAAACATCATTCCGTTATAAGGTCGACAAGGATTTAGACAAGACTAATATGCATTCTATTATCTCAACCCTTGGTTCTTCTATCAACAATATCAATTTTAGCAAGATGGATGATCAGGAATTTTGGGCTATTGGTACTAATATTGAGTTACCTGCCAATCATTTGAAGAAATTTAAGCTTTCCAAAATGAGAACAGATATCTCTCGCTTCCGTATTGCCTTTAATGGTAAAGAAAAAGATCTTCCTAAACTCAAGGGTGCCATTAGTTCCCAATGGAAAGTCAAGATTGAGAGTATCGAGTTGGCTAAGAAGATGGCTGTTGTTGGCATTAAAAAAGATCAAATTACCAATAACATTACCAAGTTCGTCCAAGTTGGTAATTATAGTTTCAGAAACCTCTCATTCTCTACTAGAGTTGCCAATTCTATCAGTCACAGAATGGAAGCTGTTGAAAAACAAATGTCTGAAATGTCATCAGCTCTCCAAAAATTGACAAAGGAAATGGTTGTCTGGTCTGGTAAAAAGGTCACGGAAGGCTTTAATAAGATCAACAAAGCTGTTGAAGAAATTAATCAAAAAATCAACGCTCTCTTAGGTACTACTACTCGCAACAAGGGTAAAAGTGGGCATAAGAAGGGCCGACATTCCCTTTAATGGACCCTCATTCTAAAAGAAACTCCTTCAATTTAGGTACTGCTAATTTTGGAGGAGTTGGCTGGGTAAAACAATCTCAATTACTTACCTTAGCCCGCAAATATGAACTGGATGTCCTTAATATCCAGGAAACTCATTTAAAATCCAGTACGAAAGACTATTGGAATATATGGTATTTCAGATCCTTCTTTCGTGGCTACTTAGTTTACAATTCCAACGCCACTGAAGGTGATAATGGAGCAGGAATTGCTACTATTATCAGACCGTCACCTTTTATTAAGGTACTCCAATTCGTCGAACATATTCAAGGCAGATTATCAGAAGTCATTTTGGAACATAAATACCTAGGTGTGGCTCGCATTTTCAATTGGTATGGCCCGGCTAACAAAAACAAACTAGAATTCATGAATAAGGCTCTCAATATTATCAACATTTCTACTCAAACAGCGGTCTTTCATGGTGAACGTATTGTCATATTGGGAGATTTGAATGCCAATACTAAAACATTCAATAAGGTATCTTATGCCGCCCATGAACGACTATTAATTGACCAATGTGACAAATTGAAATTCTTTGATGTTGTTCCTATTCCAAACACACCTTCGTTTTCTCAACGCAACAAATACTCTCATGGTTTTTCTCGCCCGGACCATATTATTACTTCCCACAATGATTATTCTGGTGTAGAAGATGTTCCTACTGCTTATTCTCACAAACTTTTAACTATCTCCTTCCCCAGTAATCCCATTTTAGACTTCCCAGAACAGTTCAACAAATATATTATCCATCCTAAAATTTTACAATCCAAGATGAAGGAAATTAATAACGATTTTGCTAAGGAAAACCCTGACACTCTTTTAGAAGCCCAAAATACCCTTGCTAAAATTGTGAAGAAATATGGTTCTCTTAGCACAAACAAGCCCTCATTGATCACTGATAATCGTAATGTCAGACAATTTCAGACTTTTATTTTCGATTTGAAACAATATCTCTATAAGCGTAAACATGTTTCTACTATCACCAGCCAATTTTTGAACAATAATTTTAGCCTCAACAATGTCAAGGCTAAATTAGAGGAAGCTAAAACCTCACTCAACAAGCTTATTGGATCTTTATTGGCTGACCGTAAACGGGTCTTTGTGAATAGAATTAACAATCTTAACTCTAAACAACCGTATTCCTATGCCTTCAGAAAAGAACTAGTCAGTCCTTCTATACTCAATGTAGTCCAAAGTAACCATAACTCGACAATTGTAGATCATTTTTCAGCCATGTTTAATACAGAACAAGAAGTGACTAAAACTCTCCCGGAAATCAAGAAAAACAATACTGTAGCCCAATGGAAATTCCATCATATCACTGCCAAAGAGTTGGATAAAGTTATTTCTAAGACAAAAAATTCTATGGCTGGCTATGATAACATTTCGGTGCCATTGTTGAAAATTCTAGACAACAATTCGCTCCAAATACTTGCAAAATGTATCAATCACACAATTGACAGTGAAATGGTTCCTAAAGAATTGGGTATCGGTATTCTACTCCCATTACCCAAAATCAACATGCCTTCAAAATTATCAGACTTTAGACCTATAGTTGTATTATCCGTGATCTATCGTCTATTTTCTTCTATTATCAACAAACAATTCATGAATGTCCTTGAAGAGGCTAATTTAATCCACACTGCGCAACGAGGATTCATGAAAAAAGGTTCAACATTAGAACACCTTATCAGTCTTCGGACTGCCTTTGCATACAAATATCAGCACAAACAAGAAGTATTTGCTATGGCTCTGGATATCAAAAATGCTTATGGATCAGTAATCCATAAAAGATTTATCAGCATTCTCAAGAAACATGGTTTCCATAACTCTGTCATTAATCTCTTGACATCCATGATCTCCAATAGCGTTATGAAAGTACTAGTCAACGGATTTCTATCCTCCCCTTTCGATGCGAATGTTGGAGTTCCGCAAGGCGATCCTTCAAGCCCGGCATGGTTTAATCTTTATATTAACTCCTCAACTAACATACAAGAAAAGCTTAAAGGAGTTCAAATATTTAATATTACCATCCTTTTATTATTATATGCCGATGATATTTTATTGATAGCTAATACTAAGATCGAAATGAATTCCTCTCTAAAAAGCCTCGGCCGTGAATTAAAGAAAATAGGGCTCGCTTTAGCTCCCAAGAAATGCAAACTCTTAGCTATTACAGCCAAAGCCAAACTATCTAAGGCCCTAGTCACTATTGGACAGGATATAATTGCCACATCTTCTTCTATTGAATATCTTGGGGGTATATGTACCTTTAAGAATGATTTTTCTTGGTCCTCTGATAATCCAATCAACAAAATCTCGAATCAACTGGCATCAGCTAAAACTTCTAATCTATATCTCAACAGCATCACCACTACATTAATGTCCAAAATCATATCTTTGCCTAGATATGCCTGTAGTTTCAATGGAATCAATAAGAATTCTCTAGACAAAGCAGATATTATGGTTGCTAATTTTGTCAGAAAGGCTATTGGATTAGATTACACATTATCAAAATCAGTCATTTTTAATTGCAAACAAATTGGGGGCCTTGGTATTACTCGCCCCTCTACTTTATTCTCCATTGAACCTATTTGCACAGCAGTTAGATTATTCAACTCCTCCTCCACCATCACCAAAAATATTGCTTTGGCTGCTTGGAATGATCTTACCTTTAACGAACCATTTTGGAACCACGTGAAAAATATCGCGGCTCAAAATAATTGGTCTCTCCATTACATTGATGAACGGTATTCATTTGTCAATGAATACGAAACCCCTGTCGACCCTAGAACTGAATTACTAAACAACGATAGATCAACCATGAGCATCTCAGGCCTTGGAATCTTAGACCATAATAGAACCTGGCATCCATGTACCATCTCCTTTTGGAGCAATTATTCACTCAAACCCTTCCAACAACGACTATTATTTGCTCACCTACACAAAGCAGAAATCCTTAGAAATTTCGGAAAAGATTACCCTAATTGCCACATTTGCAATACCAAAGCCAACTGGGAACATGTATTCACCTCATGCACCATGTGTGGTCCGGAAATCAAATCATTATACACAAAATGGGACAACAGTTCCCTCAAATTCAATGCCCCTCTTATCAGACTTCCCTCAAACCATTCTCTCTCTTGTATTCCAATGGATTGGAATGGTAGTATCAAAGACGAACCTCTTCAACAATTAGACTTATCTCCCCCAGCTTTGACTGATTGGCTAAATGAAATATATCTCTCATTCGCTGCCTATGTTGGCAGTTGTTACAAAAACGCCACTTGGAACAGTTCAACTGTACTCAAGAAGGCTAGAGGATATATAATTAAACCCAAAACTGCAAAATTTGCAACTGCTTGGGAAACATTTAGCAGTCAGCTTGGCGAACTCAACTCCAACAACATCTACACCTCACACCTACACACCCATTAGACACACTATCGTCGGACAATTGAGTACCTATAATTTGTTTATTTTTCAATAAACCCATTCCTGTATTTTTTTGAAAGCGAAAAAATCAACAAAAAATGTCAGAAGCTTCTAGCAACAACAAACCTTCATCCTTTCAAAATCATCATCAACAATTTAATACCGAGTTAGCTCCAAAAGCCATCGGACCATACTCACAAGCTTGTATATTCAACGAGAGATTGATCTTTGTGAGTGGACAAATTGGATTGGACCCGCACACTGGCCAATTAGTGGCAGTCGATCATTCCGATCAGTTAGAGATGGTAAAGGCTCAAACACATCAAACCTTGAAGAATTTGGGGAATGTTTTGAATGAAGCTGATTCGGGTTTTAGTCATGTTGTAAAGACTACAGTGTTGCTTACAACCATGGATCACTTTGCGGAAGGTAAGCAGCAGTTGTTTGAGAAATCACAATGATTTAAATTCAATTCGTTGTGATTGTTTTGATTGTATATCAATGATGATAATTGAATAACTTGTGCATCTTTGATGGATATCATGAATATTGGTGATGATCATAATGTACCACTCGTGCCATGTTCATCATGGAAATCACTCATGAAAGTGAACAAGATTTATGAACAATACTTTGTTGATAACAAACCTGCACGTGCCTGCTTTGCTGTCAAACAATTACCAAGAAATGCTCTTGTTGAAATTGAAGCAATTGCCTACAAGAAGTAGAAGTGGTTGTTTCACTTTCACAGAATATGTGTATTGAAAAAAGCTCCTCTCCTGGAAATGTGATTAATTTATTATTGAATATACAGTTTGTACGAATTCATGGTCTTGGCAATTTTTTCACATCCTTAATTTACCACCCACTTGAATTCTCTATTGCACATCTTCTCTAAATGAGTGCCAATCAATTTTCAGAGTTGGATCTTTGGATTTATATAATTGTCTTGAATAATTGGTCATGTATGGAGGTTGTAATCCTCTAAATTTATGTTCGTGATAATTATCGTATCTGAATTTATTGGCATTGTAGTTAAAGTGATAAGTTTCCATCATGCCAAACATAAAAAACGAAAAGGTTGACAAGCCAAGTATGAACGGAAGTTTCCACTTGACCAGCAAATCACGGGACATTCCGTGAAAATGCATCTTGTTTGCCATCTTGATGTTGTTTGTGTTGATTGTGCTCTGCAATTTTTTATTTATTGAAAAATTTCCCATTCGCGTGTTTCTTGTGTTAAATGAATTGCATTTCAAGAAAATTTCCAAATATGGTTGGAATAAGAATGAGGTGATAGTGTTGTATTGTTCAAGCTTTCGAATCAACCCAGCGTGGAGAAGTTTTATAGCTTCCAAATTTGGAAATCAAGAAGAAGTCTTACAGATCGATGGATTGCATGATAGGAGCGTGTTCATAACCTTTTATAACCTTTTGAAGATGGAACCATTGTTTTCCATTGTTTTCATTTCATGAAATATTGAGTGAACAAGCGTGTTCGGAGCTGTTGAGGCATGATGAAAATCCTCCTCATACTTCAACATTATGTTTCGATCAGGGCTGAAAATGATATCATTTCACATGGTGCAATACTTGTGAGAACAAATCTAAAATCCATTTGACAATCCTTAAAAGAATATTCTTTGGGTTGTGAGCTCTGTAAGTAAAGAATTTGTCGTCGCAAATGATGCCCTCCCATCTGGCAAGACCCTTTCCCTTACTTGAATGTGGCATGAAAAAACCAAGATTGAGCAGAAAAGTAAAATGCAGCAGCGGCAACGACAATACTGCCTCCCACAAAGAATACTTTTGATAAATGCTGTTGTTGAGCTTTTCTTCTCTTTTCAGCCTCCTCTCGTTCCTTTTCTTCACGAAGTAATCGCTCCTCTTCTTCATCTCTCCAATAATCAGCAACCGATTCATGATAATTCGAAAAATCTTCACATTCACATAAATATGGGAATGGAAATTCATTTGTGAACTCTTCTGGAGAGCACAATTTTCGGTAGTCATGACTCTTCCAAAGATGGAGAGCTCGTTTTACAACTCGCTCAAGCCATTTTGGTGTTATATTCTTTGGAAATCTATTCAAAAGGCCAAATATCACTGTAAATTCAATGTAATTAATGTTATCGTCATCTTCATCAGCTGAAAATGGAAAATCAATTTCAGTTCTTCCGCCTGAAACGGCTGCTAATTTTTGACGAACGGTGGTGGCAGAACCTCCTTCTTTTAAAATTAATAATTCTTCTCTTCTCTCAATAACCACACTTGCAGCAACATACACCACAAAGAATGGATTTCCAACAGCCAAAAATATGTCAAATAATGTTTGAACTAGGAAAAGACTTGGTACCACGGCTATTTTGAAAATGAATTCAAGAACAGAATATTATTTTCAGTGAAATCAGTGTTAAATTCTAGCCCAAAATCCAATCATCAAATACCTACCATTGTCTGAGACAACGCTCGTGCCGTTAGACGAATCCTCGTTTTCTTCTTTCTCTCCACAATCTTGTTCAATAACATGTGCAAACCATGTCAAAATCCAACTCAGCGCATAATGGCCTTGATCCACGCCGCTCTCTCTCAATATTTCGCAAATGTCATGGTGACCACTCTCTTCCAAAATTGTGATTACCATGGCACATTTTTTTATGGCTTGATCTAAATTTGGAGAATGCATAGAATCGTAGAAGTGGTTAGTTGCTAATCGGTAGCAACATCTAAATGTCGTTTCTAAATTGTCCTGAAACGTTAACAGCATAACGGAACAAATTTCATGAAAACCTTGAAAATAGTAAAGTGGAACAATTTCCTCTGCAAAATTTGAATTTTCCGCTTTTTCTTTGAATCGTTTGTACAATTGAAGGATTGAGTTTACGACCAAGCTTAAATTTCTTCTCTTATAACTCAGCTCAAGATTCATTGTTTTTGCTCCTGTGTTTTTAGAGACACCTCCATTCAAACTGCTACTACTGCTGGCATTCGATGTATTCATATAAATGACCTGGTTATTGTATTGACCAAAGAATGGAGCTAAAAATTTGAACATTGACCTCTCCACGTCCTTTTCCACTTGTTCATATTGTTCATGTTGTTTGTCAATTTTCTTAATGATATGAAAAACTGAACTTTTGTCTCTGCATAAATGATCCAAGTCATGTAATAAAAGAGGCCAAATAAATTGTCGAAGCGAGTCTTTCATACATCCGAGACTTGTTTCATGCTCTCCAGACCCGAGAGTGACCGGAGCTGAGAGAATAAGTCTTCTCAATTTATGAAGCAGTTGAGTAAATGATTGTTTGTCCTCATCAAGCTCTCCACATTCATTATTCGGAAATTGATCCTTTTCCGAGTGTGATGAACCTGCAGAGGATATTGTTTCATTACGATTTATCCTTTCTGCTTTCTCAACTAGCCTTCTATAATATTGATGTTGTTGAATCTCTTTAATCATTTGTTCCAATTTAACGGTTTTTGAATTTCTTGAATAATTCCCCGAAGCAATGCTTGAAAATGTTGAAGTGGATAAGGATGATGCTGTTGTTGTTGATGATGACGATGATCCATGAGATGAATCTAAAAACACGGAAGAAGACAAGGTCGTCGTAGGAATCGGAGAGGAAGATAATTTCTCTTCTTCATCGCTGAATGGTTCTCGCTTTGCTTTTGATGATCTTCGCATTTTTTTTTTTTTTTATCACTGTCCATGCGTTTATTTGTTCGAAAATTCAAACGTTATTCATGGTTGTGTGTGCAATTAGTACAGTTAAAGGTGGTTCATGTCATCAAAGTTAGTGTAATTATTGTTGTAAATTTCAATTATTGTTTGTCATCAAGGTTAGTGTAAATTTCAAATATTGTTGTAAATTTCAATTATTATTCATGGTCGTGGGTATTTCATGTATAGTTTAAACTTGTTCAAATCAATGAAATTGGGATTAAAATCGTATTGTTGTTCAAATTCATTCCAGGTGAGTTTCAATTCTTCCATGAAAAAATGATTTCGTTTCATCCACATTTTAGTAATAGATCGATAAGCTTCCTTAGTAAATACTTTGTCCCATTTCTTACCCAATCCAACTTTAGCACCTGTTAGGCTATGGATATCTTGTTTAGTCTTGATGAGGTACAATAATCGTTTGGAGAACTTCTTGTTATTCTTTGCATATATTGAGATATTATATAAATTCCTAAACATTTCTTTTCTTATATCACTATAGTATTTACATTCAAAAATAATGTGTTGCATTGTCTCTCTACTACAGCAAGGACATAGCAAGTTCGTCTTGGATATCTTGTTTAAATTTTCCAAAGTCTTCATCACGTTCACTCTAATTTTAAATATTAGATTTAAGGTTCTGAAACCGATTCCTATTGAGGGGTAAATGTTGGTGAACTTTCTGTTCTTGGGAGGAAGGTTCTTTGGCGTATATGTTCTTTTGTGGAGGCGTTGAAATAGAAGTTTGTACATTGTTTGTCTAGTGTTTTGAGTGTATAATACATTGTTGATAATAATATACCAATTATTGGATGGAATATTAGTAAGAATATTGTTACAATCAGCACCTTTCTTAGCAGCCCTATCTGCTAATTCATTTATGCGGCTATAGATATCTTGTTTACCTGTATGACTATTAACATGCATAATTTTGATCTGATCCTTCATTTTTAAATAATTACGAATTTCTTCAACATAAGGATCTCTAGATTTTCTGAATTGGAAAAGTTGGTCATAAATACTTTTCGCATCTATGACTATTGTTCTAGGAGTGTTGTTATCTAGCAATCTAACAACTGTGTGGAGCGCTTGAACTTCACTGTTGTAGGAAGTTCCTTGTCCTAAGGTGTGACTTGAGATGGAAACATTCTGATCAGTTACAATACCGTATCCAGCAATATTATTGTTACACGATCCGTCAGTACCAATTAGTGTAGCTTTGTTCAAGAGGTTTGACATGGATGTGTTGTTACCAACATATTTGTAGTATTTGCTTTCGTCTTTGATTTTTCCAAAATCCATGCTATTGAGAATGTTGCGAATTTGGGTGACATGATTGGAATGTTTGATGTCATTATGTAATTTCACTTGTAAATTTTTAGGGTCAGGAACCCACATACTTAATCTGTTCCAATCTTTATAGAGCAGGAATTGTCTTAAACCTTTAGGGAATTTTCCATAAGGGATGAGAGTTTTTTCATGCCATTGGTCACTCGAATGCCACAATCTAATATTGGAAGATTTGTTCATGAAAATTATTCTCTTGAGATATTGAGGAATCCATGGGTCTGGTTTATACCAAGTAGGGATTGGATCATTGAGGATGTCAAAACCATGCTCCTGTTTGATTCGTTCACAAAGGAATCTTGTAGAAGATCCAAGACAAATATCATATTGTTCAAGGAACTTTCTGACTTTACACATTAGGTCCGAGTAACTCATTTCTTGAACAGAAATTAATCCAAGTCCACCTTTGTCTTGATGAGTATAAAACCACTCGAGAGCTAATTTTCTCTTGGTTCTTAATCTTTCACATATAAAGTTGCGAAAGAATTTATCAATTTGTTTCTCTAGATGGTCATTAGCAAGAGGAATTAGGTGGTACAGTGCATACGGAACAATGTCTGTGTTGATAATTTTGACAATGTTCTGTATTGGAAAATTCCAGCCAATAGAGTTAGTTCTTCTTTTAACTTCTTCAATAATTGAAGTAGTGTATTTCTTTTGTTCCTCAGTATTATTGGTAATATTATTACCAAGTATAATAATAGAATCATTACTTTTGATCGTACTTCCAGATAATGTCTTGATACTACATTCCTTATCAGAGAAGAGGTTAGTTTTGGAATGATCTAATTCCATGTGATAGCCATGAAGATAGGTTTCAATGTCATGCAAAGAATTTTCAATTTCAGGTAGTTCGTTGGAAAATGAGTTCAAATCATCAATCCATGCGCCTGTACTAATGTTCCAATAATTTGCAACACTAGCACCATTATATGTTATTTCTAAAAATTGTAAGAGAGGCTCAAGCGCAATTTTGAATGCAAGGGGAGAGAAGGTGTCGCCTTGTTTCAATCCATCTTTCACATTGAAACATTCAGATTTACCATTAGGTATAACAAACTTTGTCGTAGATTCACCTAATATTTCCAGAATTCCATCAGCAGTAATTTCATCAATCCCTAAGAATAGCAGTCCATCACGAAGCATAATTCTCGGTAATGAGTCATAAGCTTTTTTGATGTCAACAGCCAAACCATAAAAAGGTTTCTTGTCCTTTTTTGCCCAAGCAATCATATTGTAAATTGAAAGGACTCTGTGAATAGTTTCTCTGCCGTCTTCACCACCAAATTGAGCTAATGATAATCTTCCCTTTAACACTTCCTTCAATCTTTTGGTGATTAATTTAGTAGCTATTTTAAGTCCTGAGTCCATAAGGGCAATAGGTCTATAGTTAGCAGGGTTTGAGTGGTCCTTATTCTTTTTGTGAATTGGGAGAATGCTGACACTTTGCATAGATTCAGGAGTAAATCCAGTTGTAATGATATTTTCAATAATTTGAAAAATTTCCTCCTGTAATTCCTTACACATGTATTTGATAGTTTTTTGTCTTAAACCTAGTTCATTGGGTGCTGTGGATTTCAAATTCTGAATTATCCATTCTTTCTCTTCCGTGGTAATTCTACCGAGTATTTTGTCATTGCAATTATCAATTAATGGATGTTTGTACTTGAAAAACTTGGTAATGTCAATTTGATGATTTCTTCCTCTAAAGTTGAGGTTTTGTTGATATTTGTCCTTGATCACATTGGCAACTTCATTGGGGTCACTAATTTCAGTTCCTTCGATAGATAATTTGTATGGTGGTGATGACGTTTTGTAAATTTTCTTTCTCAGATGTTTAGAGTTGGTTGCATAGTTTTGTTCCCACCATTTCATCTTTCTGTTCAAAGCCTTATCATGGCTCCATTTGATATGGTTCTTGATTTTCTCTTTGACACTTGCAAGACATTTTGGAACCTGTTCTAAAGTTTTACCAATAGTGGTCAAAAGTTTGTCACAAGGATATCCGTGCTCATTTCTATCAAGTATTAACATGAGCTTCTTATATTGCTTATTATATTTGTAGATTTTAGGATCAAGTTTAGGTGGATTGACCTCCACAAATTTGTCGCCTAGTTTATCACAAATGAAAAGCCATTTGTCGTTATCAGATTCTAAATTCTTAACTTGAGATACACATTCTTTGCTAATGGCCAGCACTTCTTTCTTATTTTTGGGATCTTGAAAGTTACGCTTCTTCCGAATTAACAAAGGTGTTCGTTGACATGAGAGGTCAAGTAGAATTTTAACCATTTTGTGATCTGATATGAAGTTGGCATTCAGTACTTCTCCAGATGCAATTGGAAAATCTGTGGATATGTAATCTATTATAGACTTGGATTGTTTGTTAATAGTATAATGAAGGTGCCATGATAAATGAGGGAAAGGATAGTAATTAAGATTTCTCTTGTTAATAAGATCTAGTATGTTTTGATCAGTTCTTCTAGATTCGTTTGAGGAGTGATTCTCGGATAAAATCGCATTGTAATCACCTCCAATAATGATTTTGTAGTTAGGATATTTTTCAATTAGGTTGTCAAGAATATATGTGAATTCACATCTGTCAGCTGGTTGATTTGGAAAGTACGCAGAAATTACTAGAGTATTAATTGAATTGATTTTACATTTCACGCCAATAATTCGCGCGTTATTCTTAATGATCGGATCTAAGATGATTTCTTCAATATCTTTGAAAGTGCTTTTGTTGAGGCAAATAGATACACCACAGGAATCTCTTGGATTGTGATAATATGTAAATGAAGAATAATATATAGAGGGAAAATCTGGACCAATGTAGACGCTTTTAACTTCCTGGAGCATGATTATATCAGGAGTGATTGAGTTGAGGTAGCCTCTTAGGGCTGATAATGGTTCTGCTCTGAGACCATTAATGTTGAGGGTTAGAATAGATAATTCTGGAGCTACTGAAGTGAATCAAGTAGTTTTAGCTTTTTGTGACACTCATCAATTTCCTCTTGATATATCTTCCTCTTGGTATTATCTTTTGTACAACCAGACAGAAATGTTAGAGTAGCAATTCTATTGGTAATCATTAATTCTTCATTATTTGCTCTGATAATATTAGCCATTTCCTTAAATCCCATAGCCAATTTCTGATTCTGTCTTGCCTCAAGTTCTGCAATTCTTTTATCCATAGAAGCTTCAATTCTCTTGATTTCTTTTAGGTGATCTTGTTGCACTTTTTCAAGAGTAAAGGAAACGTCTTTCGCTGCAATTTTAGAAGATCTGCCTAAATTTTGTGAAATTTTGTGAACTGTATCAGGTTTCTTTTCCAGGAAATCTTCTAGCATTGGATAATTGAGAGCAAAATCCAATGTCCATTCATTCATTCCATATGCAGCATGGTTTACCAATCTGATGGCATTAGATAGATTGTTGAGTCTAATCAAACATATTCTCTTCTCTTGATTGATGATAAGTATGGATACAGGTTGGTCATTATTGTATTTTCTGGCAAGAGAGGATTCCGTTTGTATTCTAGCTCTAATCAAATCATTTCTTTCAGGCCATCTACCAATGATGTCAGAGTATTGTACATCCATTGCATAGTTGAATGGTATGTCGATTTTCATAGTGACTGTTTCCTCTGTTCTAGGAATAGTGATATCATATGTTTTTGTCTTACATAGATTATTTCTGGCTTTCATACTTTTGACAGTGATCACTGCTGCCATTTCTTTACCAATTCTAGCTGTAGCAATTTCAACAATGGGTTCACCAGTATCGCTTTCAATAGCATTCCTCCAATCTGCCTTGACTGTAGTTTTCCATAGTTCTCCTATTGGAATATTATGGACACGTATAATTTTGTTGGTGTCGTTTTCACATGATGAAGTGATATTGACTTCTTTAAATTTTGTACGTAATGTTTCAACTGCCTGTTCTACTTGAGCGCAATCTTCAATAGTGACAATTATGGTATTATTGAGCTTAATAATCGGATTGATGGTGACATATTTGCCACTAAGTTTGTCCTTAATTAATTCAATTACCTCATTCTCTTCAAATATTTTGCTATATCTAACAGCAATATATCTGGGAGGAGTGATTTCCTTCACTGCTATGTCATTGATGTTGAATTCTTCATTGTCTTGTTGGACATTACTACTTTTCTTGTTCTCAGATAATAGTTTGTTAATATTCTTCATTCTTTCCTTCCATAACTCCCAAACATGTTTTCTGTCTTTATGGTTTTTAAAAGCCTTTCTTTCTGTGGTGATTTCGTATTTAATGTCATCAGAGAGTATTCTGAGAGTGGCTTTTACAACATGTTGGAAATTTAAGGTCATAGGGTTGTGTGGGCTAGCAATAACAGATACAATTTCTAAAATCTGATCAGTGTCAAGAAGAGTTCTGTTTGTATCTAGTTTAGCATTATTGTGTTTGAGAAAAGTTTTACCAACAATTTCATCAACTGACATGTCTTGTATGTTGAGGTTATTAGTCAGCTCATTATCCAACAATTCAATGTTGTCTTGGTTACTCATGCTCATACTATTAGTTTTAGCGGCCAATTCTTCATCAGCTATTGGATCAATAGTTGGGTACAATCTAGTGTCAACACTAGTAGAGCAATTGTGAGTAGGGTTGAGATTATTTGTCAAATTGGGCTCATTATCTACAGATGAACTAGCAGAAGCAATGTAGTCGCTTAATGATTGAAGTGAGCTAGAGTGCTTGGGTCCATGATTGGATCCATGGTTGGGTCTTGTTTTACCGATCTTGCTGGGCATCCTAATTGAATTATTCTTCTTTTTTTTTAATTTGTATAACGAATCTGATCTTGTTGGTCTGATTAAATACCATTCAGTCAATAGCGCTTTGATCTTAATAACTGCCATCGTAATAGGGTCTTGATTACAGTTTGATCACAACGGTAACAATCTCAGTACTTATAACCGGTGGTAGTTGTACGGTACCAAATCAGTACAGTACTTCGTAGAGAGGGAGAGATAAGTTTTAAATTTAAGTTTAATGATTCGGAGATGGTTCTTTGGGTGGTGATAAAGGGTGCTCAAGGTGAACACCTAGCGGAGGTGTTGTGTTATTTTTTTTTCCTCGAGATGATCTTCGCATTTTTTGTGTATTTTTAACAATATTTATAATTTAAAAATCTTCACCAATTCATCGACCATCTTGTATCCCTGACAGTTCCGCAAGACTAGAACCAATCCTTGAATGGAGTACTCAAGGTTCCTCATTAATGCACCTACATGTAGAGAATTCACAGTCTACTCCAAGATGACACTAGCAACACAAAAAAATTGACTCGAAACATGTGGCCCAACAATCCTTTTCTTCGTGGACTTCTCTTTCTGCTCGTGGCCTTGACCTTCTACATGGTATTGCGAGTTCCGATGGAACGATTGCCCCAAGAGATGATACAAGTTCTTCTCAAGCACTCGCGTGAACGTGGATATGAAAGAATGGAGCGTGTTTTACTCGTGATTCAGAGTATGACCCATGAGATGATGAGGCTAGACAATCATCCCGATGAAATGAAACAACAACCACCACAACCACAACAAACTCCATCATCCATGAATGATTCTCTTCTCATCTCGGAAATCATTCAAAACAACAATACTCAATGCCAACAAGAATTGATCACACACATCATCACGCTCAATTATGCTACGGAATTTTACTCGAGTTTATTGTCCAATTCGGGTTCTCAGAGTGAGCACGAACAAAAGGCTTCTCGCATCGTACAAGACCTCATTACGGAATATGCCAACACCACCACAGACAAGTGCGGTACAAATCATTCCATTCCAATACTTAGTTTGGGAATTCAATTGAACTCGAGGGAAGAATTGATAAGGAAGAGGGAGCTGTGGGACCCGATGAGTGGTGAGCTTATTGAAAAAATTGAAAACCTAATGGAAGAAGAGATGGATTCATCACAACCACAACGAAACAAAACAGACTTGACACGACATTCTTCGTGTGCAAAAACCGTGGTGGAGGTTTTAATAGCAAGAGAGATTTTGCTTTCAATTTCAAAAACTTATGCGATCCCAGGTGTAGAGAAAGGTGTGAACTTTTATTTGAGTTTGAAATTAAGGGCTCATTGCTCTCGAACAAATTCCCTTATCAAAAAGTCGCACAATATTTTGAAAGATTATTCTTCAATAGTGTCAGAGGATATCAAGAATGAATTATACTCTCTATTTAAAGTGAGTGAAAAAGTCGAGATGCTTGCAGTGACACCTCAAGGCAAGAACTTGTTATTGAAACTAAACAATGATCGAATTACAAATAACAAAATAGAGGAACTATTACAGCAAATTACTCACTTGAACATTCAAATCGAACAATTGAAAAATCAAAATGAGAAGCATATTTCGAGCTCACTCGAGACAGAATCAATATTGAAAAATACCATTCGAACGAAGAATGAGGAAATTAGCATTTTGCACAAAAAATTGTTGGAAAAGGATGATAAAATTTCGAATCACAAAGACCAAATCTCAGAGCTAGAGGAGAAAGTACACGCGTTGACTGAAATTGCTGAATCACAAAAAATCACAAAATCTATTCTTGAAAAGAATTTGACACTGCTTGAAGATTATTTGCAAACCTTAAACCAAACTACCACTAGTATTATTGAAAAGAAAGATCAACAAATACAGCAAATTTTACTTGTTAAAACAATGCAAGAAGAAACAATTACAAATTTGCAAAACGATTTAAAACTTGCCGAACAACGAATATCCTCATTACACAATACCCATCAAGAAGAAATGAAAAAACAAGCAGAATTCATAGAAACTCTTCAAAAGGAAATTACTCATCTCAAACACGAGAAATCAGAACAATTCGAGCGAATTGAAACTTTGAAACAAACAACATTACGTGTAATGCTTAACGAAAAGGAAGAAATTCTTAGACAATCAGCACAGCTACAACAAACTGCCCAACACATTGCTCAAATCTCTTCCTACATGGGTCAATTCAATGAGACCATCAACGAAGAGAATGAAAAAATCAAAGGTCAACTCAAAATATTCCTCGATAAGTTGGAAAAGAAACAACAATGCCAGAAAACAACCAACGAATTACGCAAAAAGTTAAATCATATGGAACTGGAACAACGTGAATGTTTTTTCTGCTTTGAGCTTGTGTCGTGAGGACAAGACAAAACTCATTCAGGACAAACAAGTAGAAAAGTTAATCCTTAAAGTGACTTCACTTGAAAAACAAATTGAACTCTTAAGCAATGAAAAACAAGCATTAATTTTGAGAGTTGGAGAATGTTCATCGAATGTCACAGAGTTAGAAAAACTCTTCAAGGAGTGCTCAGACAAATCTGCAACACTCTCCTCCATTGTCATTGAAACCAAACTTGAACATGTCGAAGAACAAAAGAAATGTAAAAACAATGTGGAAGAATTGGAATCTAGATTAAACGAAGTGATGACTGAAATGAACAATATGCAATCGCAGAGTAGCGAAGAAAATTCACACCATATTAAGGAACTATCCGCCCTTAACGATCACCTTCAAGAATGTCAATTGAAAACACAAGGACTCATCACTGAGAATAGTAATTTAACTCTCTCCCTTCAAGAATTGACCCTTTCCGTTCATGAGCTCGAAAAACAAAATCTTGAGCTAGCTTCTGCCCATGTACGAACAATGATTCAAGAGGAAGAATCCATGTCAGAATTACGTTCTGAAAATCACACGAAGAGTATTGATGAGCATTCCAAAGACAGTGTTGAAACTCATTCCTCTCATCAGGAAGAACGACAGCCCACACCACAACCAACAGGGCTCAACATGAACACTCAAGAAGAACTTAACCATGATCTCACAAAACCTCACAAAAAGGAAGAGGAGATACCTTCTTCATCAATCACAAATGAAACACACGAAGAAGAACACGACATGGCTGAAGTTGAGCTCACCCAAACAAACTCCCTCATGTCACCATCATCCTCTCTGGAATCGCCATCTTCAACAAACCCTTAAAGAACTTTCTCAGTTTTGTCTTCTTCTTAGACCAATCAAACGCCAAGTCATAAATGTCATTCATGCTCATTCATTTATGAATCATCTTGATGAACCTCCTACGTCCATCCATTGTGTGATTGAATTTCAGAGTTCAGTCCTCAAAAGGATTTCCAAAAATCAACTCCCGTACTTGATCGCAATAAGGACTTTCCAAATAAATTCACTAGGGCGATTAATGCGACATAAGAAAAAGATCAAAAAAGAATCATTCCGAACTGAGTTGATCCTGGAACAACAAAAAAACAACAACAACAACAAGAGTGTATATCGACCTTTGACATGATGATCCTCCTCCAATCGTCCGATCTTTGGTTGACTCTCCTCACGACGTGCTGCCTTTCTCTTCTCTTGTTTTACGTTCTGAAAACACTTGTCAATCTGAGAAGAAATATTGCCAAAGTTCAAGACATTCCTGGCTATTGGCAACTCCTCAGTGAGGGTTTCATTCGAATTCCTATCCTTTCTCCTTACATTGCACATGGCAACTCGGATGTGATCATTCAACTCTTGAAACAAGAACAACTGAAACAACAACAACACAACAAGGATTCCAATTCATCCAATTCTTCCAATCATCATCATTCGAATCAATTATGTATTCGAGTTTCCACTCCTCATCGTAACAATATTCTCTTTGCCGATAAAGATTCTTGCAAAGAAGTTCTTCTCACCAAATCTTCTTCCTTTGTGAAACCAGTGGAAACATTTTATGAACCTTTTAACATCTTTTCAAAGAAGGCAACGTCTATTTTGACAGCTCCGGATGGACCTGTTTGGAAGAATCATCATGTGGTAGTCTCTCCTTCCTTTACGACAAATAATTTGAGATTGATGTGTCAAGCGGCAATTCGAGCCACAGATGCATTGTTTCACACCAAATGGGAAAAGTTATTAAAGTCTTCGCAAGAGAGCATGATTCATCATCAAACGAGTTTGGGAGAAATTAAGAAAGATGGTTTTGTGTTGGATTTGGAGGATTATTCCGATGTGACTTTGGCAGTGATTGGTGAAGCTGGTTTTGGAATTGATTTTGGAATTTTCTCGGAAACATCCAATGATGGAAAGAAATTCAGAGAGGCATTGACGAATGTGATCAAACATGATTATTATCAACGATTTTTCTTTGGAGAAGGACTTGTTCGAAAGATGTTAGCTCGTTACACTAAAACGGATCAAGCGCTTGAACTGATGAGTGAGCACTTGAATCGATACATTTCTCAGAGACAAGAAGAATTCAAGAAAGATCCAGAAAAACCATTGAATGATCTCTTGTCACAATTAGTGAAAGCAAACATGGAAGAAGAATCAAATCACAAATTGACATTGGATGAGTTGAAGAGTAATGCATATATTTTCGTCATTGCTGGACATGAAACAACGAGGTAAGTGATCACGTGGAAAACACCACGTTGTGGACCAAAATAATAATTCATTTGCATGATATTTAACATTAATTTTATATTTAAATTATGATTGAAAAATTTAGTACAACACTACAATGGCTCATGTATGAATTATCAAAGAATCAAAAAACTCAACAAAAAGCAAGAGAAGAAGCTTTAAGAATTGGTGGACCTGAATTGAGGGCGCCTAATTTCGATGACTATGCCAGCATGGATTATATTCATGCAACCATGATGGAATCTCTTCGATTGGTAAGTTCTCCAAGTTTGGTTCGACGAGTGTACATGATGTGAATTTTGCACTTTGTTTTGACCGCAATGCCATTCGTCACTTACACACTGTTAACATGATTATTCATGCAAAACCTTGTCTTGCAGCATCCTCCTGTGGTTTCCATTGTTAAGGAATGTTGTAAGACCACCACCATTGGCAAGTACAAAATTCCAAAAGGTTCTACCATTTACCTTGATGCCAAAGCTTGTCAAACCTTATCTGCCGATTTTAATAATGACACCTACAAGGGTACAGACTTTGCACCAGAACGATTCCTCGATAAGGACTTTAAACAAAAGGTTATTTCTAGTGTCAGTTGGTTCCCATTCTCTGGAGGAAACAGAAAGTGCATTGGCTATTCATTCAGTCAAATTGAGACGTGCATGATCTTGTGTCGACTTTTACAATTTTATGAATTTACATTGTTGAATGACGAAAGCAAGAAGGAAGATAAGATTGTAGATGTTCCTGGCGTTACTGCAAGACCTTCATCGAATTTGCGAGTGTTGGTTACCAGAAGAAGATGAAAATGTCCAAAGATGATCTCTCTTCGAAATGTAAATAATGTTCATAAAAAATCATTGTGCGGATGCAATGACAATTTTAACTTGAAGGTTCCAATAAATAAAAAGAGAACAACAAAACTGCTGGTGACATTCAATGATTCAATCACAAATCTAATTTCCATATTTTCACAACTCCATCATCCGAACAGGAGGCCAACTCTCCAAAAACATTCCTATTCCACATGCTACAATTAATATCTGCATCATGAGCATTCACAATCTTGGTCAATAAATTCAATTTTTGCTCAGTTCTATTCCACTCAAAGATGGCAATGGTATTGTCTCCACCAGAAGTGGCCACCAATGAAATGGCTTCTCCAGGCCTGTATGGATTCTCATACACGCACCAATCGACATGATATATCGTTCGAGTGTGAACATCAGAAATGGTCTGAATGGCTGTCATATTCATGTCAAGATAATTTCCGACCACATCCTCTCTCCACACAATGATTGATTTATCATCACCTACACTGACCATAAATTGTGGGTAATCCAGAGGAGTAGTTGAGGTCATAGTATTTGTAGTACCACTACTACTACTGGCAGTAGAATATCGAACAGTCGTTTGATTGTTCATTGTAGAACTGGGTACAAATGGTGGTTCAAAAGCAAGAGCCCAAACTGTACTGGTGTGACCTCTCAAAATTCCAACACATTTCCATTCATCTCCTCCAGCTCCACCAGAGTGTGAAAAATCATGGTGACTTGAATGGTCATCATTAAATCCTCCTTCTTTCCAAACACGAATTGTATTATCGTAGGATGCGCTAAACAATAGAGATGGCATGTTTTCTCGAGTTAATGGATGCCAAGCTACAAATTTTACATCCTGTGTATGTCCACTACACACGGAATTGCAGTCAAAATCTGAAAATCCAATCTTATCAATTGCTTCCCAAACCCAAACAGTTTTATCACGACCACAGGTTGCCAACAGTCCACAGTCAGCTCCAAATTCACTCTCTTCATCATCGTCATTCATTTCAGCACTCCAATTAGAGGAAGAAACGTCTTTGAAATTCCATGCCACCGATTTCACTTCATTTTCATGTCCTTCCAAAGTTGAGACACATTTTAATAGTTTTAAAGGACTGAATGAACCATTCTTCTTATCATCATTGTGAGGAGATTGTTTGACAAATTCCTCATCGAGTGCATTCAAATGTGATACGATTTTGTTTTTCAACAAAATCCAAATAGAACTCGTTCCATCAAAACTTGCACAAGCCAAAGCATTTCCATTGGGATGAGACCAATCCACCCGACGGATGGTTCGATTATGTTGATTTTCCAAAACATCCAAACATTTGATCATGGTCTTGTAATTTCCTCCCGAGTTTGATGATGTATTTAAAAGGCTTTGGTGATTCATACCCGGGTATGACGACGACGAAGACAATACATTCGTTGTTATTGTTCCTGTTTCTGCCTCACTCCGTACATAATAAATCCTCACCGTCTTATCCGATGAACACGTGGCCAACACATGTTTATATTGTGGATGAAAAGAAACCGACCAAACACTTTCATCATGATCGCACAGAGAGGCAATAAGTTGAAGTCGCCACAACAAATTCATTTTTTTTGCTTCAAAAGGATGGACTGTTGCCACAACAACTCCGTGTCATGGAGAAAAAACATCATTCAGAGGACTCTGTGTTTTTTCTGGAGGAGGACATTCAATACGATGACTCTTGAGAATGACTACTTGACGACTACTACTACTACTAGTTGTTGTTGTTGTTGTAGCATGTATTGTGTAGAATTGCACAGAATGTGTGTGAATGGAGAAGTGAGGAGGAAAGCATGAATGGAATTCCGTGTTTCAATCGGTGACTTGAAGAATGTACAGTTCAATTCTGGAAATTGAGATTGGCTTCACCAAGTGCTCAAGAAAACTACAACAAGAATCTACCGTGTACAGTATTAATAACCAATTCATAAATTGATTCTACAAACATTTAACCCTTTTAAAAAGAAGTCTCTTACGATTCATCAGGTAGAACAAGTATCCTCCCAAAGCTCCTCCCAAGTGGCCACTCGCACTCACGGATGAATCTCTGTTCGTGTACCAACGATAGCACTCAATGGCAATGACACCATAAAAGAAATTCCTTAATTTAAATTGGATGGGTAAAAAGAAGATGCCTACTGGAATGAAGGGATGTACTTGTGTCACAAACGCTAACAAACCAAATATGGCTCCGCTGGCTCCAATACCAGTGGTATAGTATTCATGGGGTCGATGAAGTGCAGTACTTCCAATCCATTTATCAAGTAAATAAACAGAAGACGCCACTAGACCACAGAAAATATAAGCTGGCCACAATAATCTTCTAGTCATGGGCATCATTTTTCCTAATTGACTCAATGCATACATGTTCATGAATATATGAATTAAATCAATATGTGTAAACATGCTTGTGAACATGGTGTAAATTTTGCCATGTTTGATATTGTCCAATGAAACTCCCAAATTAGCAAGAATGTCTTGTCGTGTGAGGAATAAATTAGCCAAGACAAACACAGCCACATTCAAAGCAATGATTTTTTGAATATTCGTAAATCGGAATCCACTTCCTTCTCCTCCACTTCCATAGCTACTGTATTCGTAATAGGAATATCGATGACCTCCAAATACATTTGAAATCTTTCTTTTCAATTCTTCCCAACTCATCTCAAGTTTATGTGGTATTAGAATCGTTCTTGAATTCTTGAAGAATTTAGATTTGAATAACTGTTTTTTCATGTTCCATAATACATTTGAAGAGGCTTGATAGAGACTACCAATGATTCCTCCGAGAGGATGTTCATAACTAGAATTTAATAAAAGATGATGATGATGATGGTGGTGGCTTGACTCGGGTTGATCAAGGCTTACTCCCTTCATCAAATTCAACGAACTCATCATCCTATTGGATTTTGATTGATAAATCATCTTCTTCCTATCATGATGATAAAGATCATTCATCCGAGAGAAGAATGAAAATTGATGATTAATTCCAAAATCCAACAACCGACGACGGTCCATCATCGGTGGATCAGCAATCGTTCTCATCACCACCACTTTCAACATGGATGGAGTGTTAGTGGTGCTTGTTGTTGTGCCATGAAAAAGAATTCCTCCTCTTCTCGAAAAGCTGATACCACTAAATGAAGAAGAAGAAGAAACGAGTTTCAACATTTTTTGTAAGCAATTCCTCAATTTCGAATAAATTCTTAATGATGATGAAAGGCCTTTCATCGAACAAATTGAACCGATGACTTGTCGGTGGCATTAGACCCTCAGTTCTATTGAAATTTCCTCTCTTTATTTTGATTTATTATTATTCACGTATTTATTTAGAATGGACTTGTCTCTCTTTAGAAGTTTCTTCCCATATGAACGTTATATAACTGACACCTGTCAGAATGCAAATTTACTAACGAGAAGAAGAAGAGATATGAGAATTTGATCTTGGAAATCATTGCCATAATGCTGGTCCTCACTCTCAATTGATCTGACAGTTCTTGTAGAATGTTCACGATTATGAATGCGAATACACAAATTGCGAAAGTGTTTTACTTCTTCTTCTTCATGATCTCATTGTGAGAATTTGACCATCTCATACCTTCTCCAACATCAAAAAAAAGAAATCAACGACCAGACCCCCTAGACGACGGTTGTTACAACCCAACTTTTCATTGAGTGAGTGATCAATTCATTCTCCCGACAAGCATTTCACGAATTGGAGGTCAGATCAGATTGGTGCAAGATAAGAATCAGCAAAACGTTTCGTTGCTTTTATCCGTGTTTTGGTCTCAAACAATAGCGCTGTGTGAAATAGCCATTCTCAAAGATCCTTCCACTTGACACTCTGACAAGACCTGTCACTAATCACGATTGTGTTTGCGCTGTCAACAAGCAAGCTTACAAAAAGAAGATTCCACATCTCTTTCACAAGATCAAAATAACAACAACAACATTTTGCTTCTTCCAATCGATCACAACATTCCATGTCACCTCCCTCTGAAATTCATCAATCCTCATCCATCGAATTACAAGAAGCAAATCACACCTCTGCCATCCATTCACCACAACAATCACTACCCTCACAACCATCATCACCACAACCACAACAACAACCATCTTCCACTTCTCCTCCTCGACAACATGATCATTCCATTCCATCGGCGAAAAACATCTCCGTTTTCTCCTCTCCGCTCCGAATTCGGACTTGCTTTGGTGTGGTGGAATTGTCATGGATGCGCCTTCTTTCCTTACTCTCTCTCGTGGTGAATGTGGTGGCATTTATCATCTTGTTGGCACTTATTATTTGGAGTTACGCTGCATTTCAAGATTTGGATACTTCCACCATTGAATATACTGTGATGGCAAGATTGTATCGAGAACGATTGTCCTATAGTTCGAAAACAGCTGCTCTCTATTCGGCATGCTTGGCCTCGTTGAATGTTTCGGTCGTGACACCTCCGACATCGGGAACCACATCGGGATCCGGAACCGGAACCGGAACCGGGCCTTGCCGAAAGAGATGTAGGGGTAGATCAACCGCAGAACAACTCGGAATCCAAGCCACGAATACTTCTCAACTTTCGACAACACAGGCGGCCAATTACGACTTGTACGTCTCTCAAGAGGCCTACACCTTTTACAACACCACTCTCCTCTACAATCAAACCATTTCGAAATTACTTTCGGACTTGAGTGATCACGAAATTCAAGCGCTTAATTTAACTCGACTCGATTCGATCGATTCCTCCATTCAGTTCGAAGCTCAAGCGGTCAATCTTGCACTCAAACACAACGGAACGCAAGCCCTCAAAGTTCTATTTTCAGATCCGACCTATCAGACCAAACAAGCTCAATTTTTACAACAAGTGTTGGACCCAGTTGCGTTTTATGTGAGTGACAAACAAAATTCGATTGCATTTGTGTTAAAAGTTCAGACCGTGGTGAGTTTGGTGGTGATTTTGGCAGCTGTGAGTATTGTGATTCCAGTGGTGATTGCAACGTTGGTGTGTGCTTTGAATCGAGATGCCATTCAACTTGAGAGATTGAGAAAGGCGAATGCGTTGATGGCTATTGATACCATGAGGGATCCTCAATTGAGAAAGTGTAAGTACAATTTAGTGAATGTCAAATGTGTCGAAATTTACAAAATGTGAAATGCATTTCATGTGGTTCGAATCATGGCAAAATATTGAATGTATTTCATATATGATCCTATGATCATTCTCGTGAATGATTGGTGTGATCACACTTTCCAAATGTTTCAATTTTTTTTAATATTATTTTTATTTCACAGTATTTAAGGCACATTGTGAAAAAGAATTTTCTGTTGAAAACTTTTTAGTATTGGAAAAGATTGGTCAATACAAG